GGACCGCGGTTCAATCCCCCAGCACCACATGCCAGCCAGCCCTGCCCCCTGGTGGGCTGAGCTGGCCACACACACACACACACACACACACACATTAAAAAAAAAAATTAAAAAAGAATGCTCTTTTCCCCAAAGCCAGCCATAAGACCTAAAAACATTAGTCTAATTTTCTGTCTCAGGTGACCATAAATAAATTCCTAATCATATTTTGTCTGCAAGTTTGTTTGTTATAGCTTGTACCTAGATGTCTCTCCAAAAGCCTCATGAGGTCACAGGAGAGATCATTCAGAGGTGGCTGAATTTAGGTTATGTAAATGTGGACTAAAGATGTACTGCTAGGATTAAGGGTATATGGCACTGGTTTCACTGATTAGTTTATTACAGTTCTAGGTGGGTAATGGGAGGCCCCATCCTGGGTGTGGGCAGTACCACCTAAGAGGCTTGTAGCCTGGATGGAATAAAAGGGAAAGAGAGGCTTGCTGCTTGCTACCTCCTGCATGCTCTGCCATGAATTGTGTCTCCTCTGTCATGTCCCTCTGCTGTGCTACCCTACCCTGGAACCAGCTGACTATGGACTGAATCCTCTACAAACTGTGAGCCAAAATAAACCCTTCCCCTTTCAACTGGGTGTCAGGCATTTTTACTCAGTAACAAGAAAAGTAACTAAAACAATGTCTTCAGATTCCCATTTCAGAGAGTCAGAATGCTACACAGAGAAGCCAAGAAGACTGATCATGCAGTTCTCCCTGGGTGCAAACCCTCAGTTTATCACCATTAGATCACATCAATTTTGTGCAGCTGAACTCTTACATGGTTGTCCTTGCCTTGTTGAACTTATGTATGAAAATGGAGTTTACTCTGCATCTTTGGGTCTTTGTTCTTTTTTTTTCTTTCAATTAATAATTTCTTTATTCTGGAAAAGCAAATCAAATTCATATTCATATAAACACTGACATTACAAAGTAGAGGGATGGGGCTGGAGAGATGGCTCAGTGGTCTAAAGCACCTACTTGGAACAAGCTTGGCAAAGCACAGGGACCGCGGTTCGATCCTCCAGCACCACA